ACCCGCCCAGCGCAGGCCGCAGCAGCACCGCAGGCCGCTTTCGAAGCCCCCTCCCCGCCCCGGCGCGGCCCGGATCCCGTTGCGGAGCCCCAGGCTCCCGTTCCGGGCGCCCTCCCGGCTCAGCCCCGCCCGCCCGCAGCTCCGGACCGACCCGCACAACGCCCGCCCGCCCCGCCGCCCTCACCAGCTCATGGTGCCCGCCGCCCCGCGCCGCTCCCGGAAGTGCTGCCGCCAGGCCCCGCCCCTTCCGGCCCCTCCGTGACGTCACGGCCGGGAGCGAGGGGTGTTAACCCTCGGCGTGCCGGGCTGGAGCGTGGCTGGCTGACGTCACGGGCGTGGCGTCACGGGGCGGTTTGGGAGCCTCAGACGTGGGCTGTGAGCTCCTGAACGATGCCCGGGTGGGTGCCTGAATGCCCTCCTGGTCGTGCCCTGATGGATCCTAATTGATCTCCTAATTGGGACCCCAAGTGCTGTCCTGATGGGAGCCAAAGCCTCATCCTGGTCATGGCGTGATGGGTGCCCCGGTGTGCGCCCAAATCCCATCCGATGAGCTCCAAAATCCCACCCAATGTGCCCCCAAATCCCATCCAGTGAGCCCAAAATCCCATCCAATGAGCTCCCAAATCCCATCCGATGAGCCCCCAAAATCCCACCCAATGTGCCCCCAAATCCCATTCGATGAGCTCCCAAATCCCATCCAATGAGCCCCCAGATCCCATCCGATGAGCCCCAAAATTCCATCCAATGAGCTCCCAAATCCTATCTGATGTGCCCCCAAATCCCATCCAATGTGCCCTCAGATCCCATCCCAATGAAATCCCAAATCCCATCCAACAGACTCCCAAATCCCATCCAATAGACTCCCAAATCCCATCCCAATGAGCTCCCAAACCCCCGCTGGGCTCCTGAAGTCCATCCTGATGTGATCCTAGACCCCAACCCAGAGGGCTCCCAAATTATGATGGTGCCCTGAACATCCTTGCGAACACCCCAGACGCCCTAAATGTGGTGCTCCCTCCCACCTGCTTGGGGTGACCCCACACTGCGCCCCCCCCTACAGCAGCCAAAACTTCTTGGGGACGGACAAACGGACAGCGGACAGAGGGACACAACGCCGCGTTCCCGTAGGAAAGTGGCTTAGGGCTGGGAATGGGGACACATGGGATCACCAAATCCCAAATCCTATACGTGGGGATGGGGATGGCCCTGTCCCAGTGCATCCCAGTGCATCCCAGCCCTTGGGCATGGGATGGGGCCCCTGATCCCCATAGAAAAGCAGCGCTGCGCCGGTCCGGCGACTCCGCACCTCAAAATAAGGAGAGGGGAAAAAGCAAGTGGGAGGAAATTATAGTTTGGGAGTTATTTTCAGAGAGGAAACTGCAAAAAAAAAAAAAAAATCCTCCGTTTTGATACAAAACACGGGAAATTCGGGAAAAGAACTTCCAACGGGTTCAGAGAGGGGGGAGGAATAATTACCAGAAAAAAAAAAAATACCCCAAATCCGCATTTAAAATGGCAAACATCTCTGTAAAGAAAGTGACGTGAGTGTGTCGGGGCCATAAACAGAGCTGGTGCTCCGGGCTGGGGAGGAGGAGGAGGAGGAGGAGGAGGAGGGAGGAAGGATGCTCAGGGCCTATGGAGGAGTTGGGAGCACAGGGAGAGGGGAGAGCGGTGGGTTTTGGGGAGAAAAAGTGTGGAATTGGGGAGGGGATGGAATGGGATGGAGCATTGGGTTTGGGGAGAAAAACCATGAAACTGGGGAAGGGTTGGAGAGGGATGGAGCTTTGGGTTTCCAAAAGGGATGGAGCTTTGGGTTTCCAAAAGGGATGGAGCTTTGGGTTTCCAAAAGGGATGGGGCTTTGGGTTTTGGGGAGAAAAAGTATGAAATGGGAGAAGGGATGGCAAGGATGGAGCACTGGGTTTCCCAGAGGGATGAAGCATTGAGTTTTGGGGAGAAAAACCATGAAACTGGGGGAGGGTTGGTGAAGACGTCGCAACAGACACGGTGTCACCGCCACGTGCCGCCGCATGGGGATGGTGGGTTAGGAGTGGTGCCAGGGGTGGCTTTATTAATTAGCAGCGTGGCGGCGCAGGTAAACAGCGCGTTAATTACCGTCACAGCTGATGCTGCTAAATTGGGAAGGTGTTACACACACCGGTGAGGACATGGGATTAGGGCTGAGGGATCGAGGGAGGTGAGCGCAGGGAGGGGGTTGTGCCAAGGCTGTGGGGAGAGGGGACCTGGGGGGGGGGGGGGGGGACATCGGGGTCCAGAGCATCGTTGGGTCGTTGGGTTGGAAGGGAATCTGTGGGGACAGCTGGTCCAAATGCCCCAAAATGAATGGGGACAGGGATTGGGAAGGGTGATGTTGTCATGGGGAGGTGACAATGGGGAGACGGCCCCACTGAGAGCGATGGCCCCGTGGGGAGGGATGGCTGTGGGGTGATGGCACCGTGGAGAATGACAGCCCCATGGAGGGTGGTGGCTTTGGGGTGAGGTCCCCACGGAGGGTGGCAGCCTCGTGGAGGGTGATGGCACTGGATGTCACCATGGAAGGCGATGGCACTGAGTGATGTCCCTATGGAAGGTGATGGTGGTGGAGCGATGGCCCTGTAGAGGCTGGCAGCCCCTCGGAGGGTGGTGGCACTGGAGTGACAGTCCCACAGAAAGTGACAGCCTTGTGGAGAGCGACAGCAGTGGGGTGTTGGCCCCATGGAGGGTGGTGGCGTTGGGGTGATGTCCCTACAAAGGGTGACAGTCGTGCCTGGGACAGTGACCCCAGTGGGACCCCAGGATGTGGGGGATCGGGGCGTGGGGGTGAGGGACGGGCAGGGGGACACGGAGAGGAGCACGTTGAGTCGCCGTGCCCTGGATTTGGGAACAATTTGGGGACTCTTTTCACAACCCTTCCCAACGAAGGAAGGACGGCCGCTCCTCCAAACCCAACTCTGTGCCACGGATGGCCAAAGGGCTGTGGGCAGGGAGGGGTGCTGGCCAAACCCACGGATCGGGAGCCGACCCACGGCGCCGCGCGTGGCTGCGAGCCCTTCCCTCCCCCCCAGAACAACGGGGACAGAAAGTGCCGTGTTTCCGTGGCAACCAACATTTTCGTGCAAGGTGCTGCACGCGCTCCGCACGTTCCGCCACCCATGGGTGCTCCTCCCGCGTGCTCCCATCCCGGCAGCGGCACCACGAGATCCCACGGGGCGCCGGGAGCTCAGCCCCACGCTGCTCCTACAGCCCTGCAGGTGGAGGCAGCACCCAACCCGACGTCGGTTGGGACCCGATGCCGCCCCATCCCAACGCCGCCCCATTGCCGTCCCATTGCCCATTGCTCAACCCCATGGCGCCGCCCGCGCCGGCAGCAGCGGCCCTGACCTCTGCTCCCCATTGGGGCCGATGGCTCGGGCCATTCCTGAGGGTGGGAAGCAGAGCATCGTGGCCTGGTGAGGGAAAAGTGGGATTCACCCATCACCCCTCCTCGCCCCGACGCACCTCCGAGCGCCGGCCCCGAAATCCACGTTATTTATAACCTGAGCAGAAATCCCTGGGCGCCCCGCACCTGCGGCACCGCGGCATTAAGGGCTGAACCACCAGATCCTCTTTGAGCCAACGGACGCCACCGGAGCCTTAAATCCGCTGCGGGGCCAGGGGTGGAAAAACCCGACGGCAGGGCTGGAAAAAACCCGACGGCACATAGGGTGGAGGCGTGGGGCCGAGATTTGGGCCACTCAACCCACCGCCCCCAACCCTCCGCGACAAAACAGAGCTGCCCCGAGCGAACCCCAACAGCACGGGGCTCCCCCGACCCCAAATCAGCCACACAAAGGCGCCGTCCCCCCAATCAGCCCCCGGCGCACCCCATCCCCACCCCGAGGCCGTGCTCAAAGAAGGGCCGTGAGTCTCAGCCACACACAGAATATATTTACGGCATCGCGGTGCAGTGAATGGTACAGCGATGCAGCAGGCGACACAGCGGGGATGAGCGGATGAGATGTGTGTGAAAGTCGTCGTCACCTTGCCACGATACCGAGCGCCGGGTTTTATTTAGTATTATCATCATTATTATTATTCGTTATTATTATTTCGGGGATGCGAGAGGGGGG